AGCTGCTCTGCAGCTGTGGTCAGGGCTGCTCTCTGGCTCCTCTGCCTCTGTGGGCGCGCTGCTGTCCGGCAGCTCCGCCGCGTGGGTGGGGCCGCACTGGCCAGGGGGAACGAATGGCAGGCTGCTTATCGCCATGAGGGGCTTCAGAGCTGCATTGTCACCCAGGGGGCTGGGGTGCCTGAAGTTCCTCAGTATTCCCAGCCTGCTGGGCTGAGTTTGCTGGGACGATTCCTTCCAACTGTGCAGCCCCTGTGCCCTTAAGACTTTCAAAAAGCACTCACTTTTCTTTTGTCCCAGGGGCTGCGGGGACCCACTCGCAGATTTTACTTTTCCGTTTCCTTAATATCCAGCACACCATGCAATGTGTATCTGTGCTCCTGGTGTGGATTACTAGGGCTGGTTATTTAGGAGTCCTGAACTTCCCGTCTCTCCCCGCTTTGACTGCTTTCCTCCTGCCGGTGAGCTGGGGTGGGGGGAGCGCTCGGGTCCGGTCGGGCTGTGGCTTGTATCTTACCACCTTCATGAGATGCTGAGTTCTCGCAGATTAGATGTAGCCTGGCTGTTGTACTGTATCCTCTGGTCTCTCTTTTAGGAATAGTTGCATTTGTTTTATTTTAAAAATATATACACGGTTTTGGGAGGAGATTTCCACTGCCCTACTCACACCACCATCTTGGCTCCTTCCTTCAGAACGCACTGATTTTTAACCAGAGCTCTTAAGACATAACTTCCTCGTTCCCTATGCTCCACATACAGATTGGAGTTCCTTTAGTGGCGGTAACTGAAATCTAGTATGCAGTTAGTTTGTGCTAGGCAGTGAGATACATTACTCCTTTTCACCCCACAGGACCCCTGTGCCCTGTGGGTGATACACTCTTCCTATTTGGTAGGTGGAAACCAAAGTTTGTAGAAGTTCACCAATGTGCATAGCACCTGAGTAGCAGTCCAGGTGTCACACCCAAGCCCGTCTGACATCAAAGTCCTGCTTTTGGCCATGACATCATGCATCTCCCTAGATTTATATTTGTAGCACACTCCTAGTTTCTTTCGCTGAGGGCACACAATTTCAAGATGCATAGGAAATGAAATCAATTGAAATCCCACAGTCACATTAGGTAAAACTTGCTATTCTTCTAAAATTTTTTGATGTTCTTTGGTCTATACAAAGTTTTAGCATATAACTACAGAAGAAAGCATGAAAAGCAGAAAAAGCCCAACAGTTAAAATGCACAGGCAACTCTCACATTTGTGGTCTGTGAGAAGACCCCACATGGTCACATTCACACTGCTGTGTTGTATACTGTGGCTTCCTATTTTATAACCCGGCTCTCCGGGCATGATAATCAAGTAGTAAGTAGAGTATTCTGTTGTGGCAATGGCGTGTCAGACATGGGAAAGCCACGTGAAGCCATCCTTCTGAGGGTATGGACATAGGCAGGTGCCTTAGTATTGGGTAGAGCCTGAGATCAAGTCCTGGCTCTGCCGCTAACTTGCCAGGTGACCCTGTGTAAGCCATTCAAGCCCCTGAGCCTGGATAACCCTTCTGCGGGATAGAGATGAGGCGCCTAACTCTGAGGGCTGTGTCCGGACGTCTTGAGATGATGCCAGGCACTCAGCACAGCATCTGGCACAAGGTATGAACTTCAGCAACACTGGCTTCTGTATTCAGACTTCCTGGGAAGGAGCGAAGCACAGCATTTGGTCCTTCTGAAAACCTTTCTTTCAATTTCTTATCAAGGAGATTTTTCCTAGTCTTTCAAGTTATAGATTTAAAAAATAGAGAGAGGGAGGGAACATAAGTGAGCACATGCATGCACCTAAGCCAGAAGGATGATTTTTATGGGCTATGAATGCTTTATGCTTCCAACCTAATGAAAGCTACACAAGGACCTTAAGGGAGCATGCTGCAATGTTATTTCCGGTTCTCTACGGAAAACCTGGAAATTACCAGGGTAGAAAAGCCAAGCAGGCAATATAACATCTACTCAAAATTAGATTCCGTTTGTCAAGGAAAGACTGAAAAGCATATGCGGTTCAAACTGAGAACACCCCACACATCCGTATTCACCCTCCTGTGTTGTGCCCAGTGGCTTCCTCTTTCACAGACCTGTCTTTGGGCATAACAACAAAGTACGAACAGAGGGCTCCATTGTGACAACAGCATGTCACACACAGGAAAGCCATCTCATGTGATGAAAAGGTAACAGAATTAACTAGTTTTATCAAAGATCCCTGGCATTTTCAGAGTTCCCAGAACCCTACCTGAAATCCCCGTTTTTCTTCTACTCAATGAATACCTCCTCTTAAAAACAGACCTTTGCTATAACATTTGAACATACAAGCTGAACCTACGAAAACAGCTGACATACATGGTTTTCTATGCTAAAAGATACACAACTAGGTACCACACTAGAAATGTAAAATATAGATCAGAAATGCACCCCAAACCTGTGTTATCTGCATATTGATGTATATGGTACGTACATACAGAGGGGCAGAGAGAGGGCATTCAGCATCCAAGCATACCTCAGGTTCCATGTGCCTCGGGAATAGAGACGTGGTGAGGTATTTGTATAACATTCTCATGTCCTCCTGCTCTAATCCGCTCCTGAAATATCAGAAAGGCACTGTGTTAAAAGTTTCGAATTGGTCTTGTCTTTCTATTGCTCTATGATAAAGCCCATCGTTTTTGCTCTTCCATTTTATTAAGAAGCCCTTTTCTGGATTGGGAAGTTCAAAAAGGGAATGGATTAATCTTGAGTCCCGGCACTGGAACTTTATCCTGACCTGCTAAAGGCTCCTAACTGTATCGTTTTGTGTTTTATGTGCTACTTTAAATAAAACGTCACAACAGATCAGATTATCTGGCTGAAGTCCATGGGGGATTCTCCAGGAAGCACTAGGAAGCACAATACTCCACTCTGGGCAGATCTCTTTGATGTCCGGCTGCACAGTGATGCCACGTTTTCACCGGGAGTCCCAGGAAATGCTGCTGGGCTGCAGATGGCAAACCCGATCCTGTTATGCCTCAGAAATGTATGTGGGTTTTAATCCGCTGGATTTCAATGTAGGCACAAAGGAGGAGGAGGATAAAGAAACAAACTTTCAGGCAAACTGTCTAATCTGGAATGAGGCAAGAACAAGGAGCATGTGAGCCTACACAGGCCAACTGAAAAAATCACGTGACGAACCCTATCTTTACATAAAGCAAGCACCTACCTATATTCCTGAGGACCTCATCTTTTCCCAGTGTAGCCTGATGTCAGAAGAAGTCTGGCTTGTCTTGGCAAATAAATGCTGCTCGCTGCCTTAGACTCTTCCAATTTTACCTGATCTTTTTGTCTTCTTATACCACCTCTCTTCTTTCACAGTTCAATTTCCATGTCTTGTTGGCCACTAAAATTATAGGGGAGCCCTATCCCCTCAGGCAGGCTTGTTTCCTGCCAAGTAGAACCTCACTGCTTGTCCTATGACAACCCCAAGAGGCTGAAAGAATCACCCAGCCAACTAGGCAGATGGAATTCCCACAACCACATGCAAGGTCACCCACATTTTTCTTTTGCAGAAATAACTGAGATAAAGGGAGAAAAAAGAGAAAAACACAAAGCAGGTTCTGGATATTATTTACCTTTTAAGACATAAATAAGAAGAACCATGGGAGGGGCTGTTAATGATAAGACATTACAGAGAGAATTAGGTGCTGGGCAGTTTCTTCTAGAGCTGTGCTTCTACCAAAAGTGGCAGTGAGCACAGCTGGCTGCTGAGCACTAGAAATGCAGCTTGTCAAAATGAGTGTAAAATACACACTGGATTCTTAAGATACAGCACAAAAAGAATAGCTTTATTGTTTACATGTTGAAATAACAGTTCAGATATAGTGGGCTAATTATATATATATATATATATAATATATAATACATATTATATATAAATATTAATTTCACCAGTTTATTTTAATGTAGCTACTAGAAAATAAAAATTATGTATGTGGCTTACATTATATTCTTCGTGGATGATGGTGTTCTAGGCCAGAGGACAGACACACTAAGTAGAAAACAACTTGTCAAAAGAAATGAAGACAACTTTTTGAACTGCTTACTACATGCACTGTGTAGGGCTTTGTTTCTATTATCTCAACTGAGATTTAATGCTAGGCATTAAACACTTTGGTGTTGGCCTTCTGGATAGAAAACTTAAAAAGAAAAAAATTTCATGGCCGCCAGCTGTTTAGAGCACAAAACACCAAACAGGCGACTCCCACTTCGTCTGTGCAAAGGCCTGCCCACGTTGTAGGGTCCCCACCGGCTCTGACCATAACCAGTATCTATTGTCGCCCATCCCTGTCCCTGCTCCCCTACAGAAATAAATGAATACTGTTTTATTGTTATGCAAGATGTTACCACTGGGGAAAAGTTCTTATAACTGCATGGCAATCTTCAATGACCTCAAAAGAAAGTTTCTTAAAAAATCAAACAGAATGTCCTTTCTCAGCACAAATATTTACATAAACAAATAAAAACATAAAGCAAACAAAATCCTGCACTGACAGGTACAAATGATTCAGGACTCTGTCAACGGCCAACACCAGACAGGAAAGAGCCAGTCGGTGCGCACAAGTACAAAAGTTTTCAGTCTCTCAAATACAGTTCTTTAATATGAAGATTACTTTACTTAAAAAAAAAAAAAAAGCAAAAACTTTTCTTCAGTTTAAATCTCAACTGACTCATTTGTGTGCCAAGGATGCTACTAGTTTGTCAAGACTGGGTTTTCTTATTTTTTATACAACTGTGCCCTGTTTTTACTTTGGTATAAACAGACTCTCACTCTTTTGCTCAAATCCCTCCACACCTGCCATGAGTGGAACAGCGGGTTCAATGCTGCAAGCCTCACATGGCTGCGGTTGGAGTCCACGCCCTCGTTAGTACTCCAGCTCTGCTTCTGGGGCAACACCAAGTTACTGAATTTGAGAACTTCTTTCGGAAGTAAGCCCTACCAAGCATGGGGTGGTGATCATTCAATAGAGAATCCTACACATTAGGATCAGTTTAGTCTGTAAGACAGACTTTTATATTTGGGATATGACAGTAACATAATCTAGCCGAGATAAAAGAGATGGTCAACTCTGACTAACTCAAAAAGCAGCTTTTATTTAGTCACAAAAGCATTTACACCCCTGAAAAGTAAATCAATTCACCAAAAAGAAAGTTCTTTCAAAGAACAGGCCCAAAATTCTGGACAAGAAAGTCATGGAACATCCTTTCAGCCAAAAACAAACAGCCTGGATCCACACCCCACCCTTGAGGGCCACATCCTCTATGCAGTCTTATGTACATTCATGTGGCTTTCCAGAGCTTTGTCTTAAGTAGTTGATAGCATTAATAGTGTATTTTTTCTTCTTGAGTTTCAACACTTTCATCAAAGAAATTGTATTTTTGTTCCTACCACAGGAGCAGATGTAGTTTGATGACGGTGGACAATTTCCTGGTTTTATAGCACTTTTCACTTTTTGGATATTTAAAAAAGTTTAGCTTCTTCAAGAAAAAAGTATGAAAATTATGCTTTCCACATTTACTTTATCACATCTTTGAAGATGTCTTTGGAAAAATACCAAATTAAAGATAGGATCCCTAAATCTAACCTGATAGGAACATTTTTCTCCTCCTTTCATGGAACCAGTTTTAAATTTCCCTGCTTGGTCATTTTAACCAAAATCTCCCTAGTTTTAGTTTAAATAATCACTGCTTTATATTGACAATATTTATAAAGATGCTTCCTACCTTGCCCCACTTGCTATTAGTTCCAGTTTGACAACCTGCTATCAGTCTAGTCACTGCTGTTTTTCTTATCCTAAGAGACTTTCTTCTTTTACATGCCGAGCCTTACGGTGTACATACCAGATGAGTTGATCGTTATAGAGAAAGGCAGTGTATTTGACTATACTCAGGCTTTCCTCCATTCTATTAATAAACGACTGGATTTTCAAATAAGTCATTTTATCCAATGGGAAGAAGCTGATTCCACCAAAAATGTCAAGCAGATCACAAGACTGCAAATGCAACGTTTGCAAATACTGTAGAAAGAAATAAGGCACAAAGCTTAATAGTACATCAATTAGTACTCTTTGACAACTGAAAATAATTAGTTGTAACTTATGGTACAATTACATACTAACAAACAGCATACTGACAAGACCATTAAGTAGGTAAGCCATAGGCAACTGGATTTGAAATCAGCATTAATTTCAAACATAACTAGTTAGTGTTTATTCAGAATTGTGTTTTCTCTCTTTAAAGTGTTTGATTCTTTATATCAGTGCTCCTCAAATCAGATTAACCTCATTAGGGATCCACACAGTGGCATCATGGATAGACAGTGCCATCTTATAGTAAAATCATGGTGAGAGGACATGTGGTCAGTTGTAACCACCAACAGAAAGCTGATGGGCAGGAGAGTAATGAAGACAAGAGCAGGAATCAGGAGATAGCATGGTTATTAAAGTGAAGAAACAAGAAAGAAATTCACAAAACCAATTCAACAATAGACATCAAAGGTTTTAGGGAGAAAATAAAATGAGAATATCCTAAGATAAACTCAATTTTCTCAGAGCTAGAGTGAGATATGCAAAATTCAGTTTAGAATGACAGAGAATGGCAACTATTTAGGGTCACTCATTTACCCTTGCAGGGAAGAAATCACACTACTAACCACTAATGGGATAAAGTTTGTTACAGCCAAAAACTTTTACCTTGTGTCAATATAGATTCTGCCCAGTGAACAGAATCAATCCATAAGAATGTGCAACTCAGGTAAAGAGTTTAAATTTTGTTAATTTATCAATCCACCACATAGTTCACTTTTGAGTAAGCTCAGCGTGCCACATGCAAATAGAACCAGGATGAAGCCAAAAGACGTCCCCAGGATGCTTTAAGGAGCTGGGCACAAATGGATGCTCTGATCCTACACAAAAGGTCAGAAAAACATTCAAGAGTGCAAGTCTAACCAACTTCTTCACTGGTCTGGTCCAGTTTTATCAGACTATCTTAAGCTCTGCCATGTCCAAGTTCTAGGTTTTTTTGTAAATTAAAAACAAACTTGACCATGTATTTCTAAGGTTCTATTTGAACACTACTGAGATTATTAATAAAATTTGAGATACTTACCCGATGGAAGAATTTTTCTAATCTTTCTTTTAGGAGCTTGACACCTCCATCTTCCACGGCTTTCACAAATGTACCATTAAACAGCTAATGGTGTAAAAGGATTTTTTAAAAATTTCAATTTCTTCTGCCCTTCAATTACCTAGTTTAAAAAGTTCTTTTTCTTTCAGATGAATTTGGCTAATACCCCCATTCCTTTTAAATATAGAAAATGTTTACATGAGAAAGCATGAATTATAAAATAAGTCACAAAAGATTAATACAATTAATTGATGTAATTTTTATGAAATCACCTGATTGTTTTGGGTATGGTTGTTTTTTTAACCTCAACTCATCCTAAATTTCACTTTACATAAACAATACTGCCAGACTTCTTAAAACATACAAACATCTGTGGTACGTGATTTCAAGATTGTGGACTCTCTTGTTTACTAATGGGAATATGTTCCTAGTACGAGACCCAGAATAGAAAAGGGCTCAATACTCAATGAGTAAGTGTAGGTATATACTTCAATACCATTTCAAAGGCTCCATTATTTCCTTCCCTAAAAGACAGCCACCTTGCAGTCATCTAAATTATTTTTAAACAATCTCTATAAATAGGGGTAACTGGCTAGATTCAATTCAGAAAGGTCATGCTTACCTTGTACATGCTGTAGCACTGTTGCAGCACTGAATTGTAAACCTTGTCCTACAAAGAAACAGCATAGATCTTGATTTAAGGAAAAAAAATGCTTATTGCATAGCAAAGGTACACTGACTCTTGGTAAAGCAATATAATGCTTACGAACTTGGGCCCACTCCAGTTGTATGCTGAAATTGGAGCTATATGAATTTAATTATGAACCAGTAAGCCTAATTTTAGGAGGGCTTTAAAGAGAGATGATTAGCAGAAGGCATTATTGAGACAGAGTACACAAACAGTTTGACAAGACTGCACTGTCAACAAAACATAAAACTTCCTATTGTACAGAGAAATTTATGTAAAATGACATAAATCTGACTTAAGTCACTCAGGATATTCAGTAATAAATCTCTGAAGATATGCAATAAAAAATGACACATTACCAGCAATTCCTCCTCTTGGTACTCAACAACTGGTTTTCCATCTTTACTTTGCTTTTCAATTATAGGATTCCGAACAACCTGCAAAGTTTTAATGAACTCAAGTTACATAACAAATCAATTGTACTTTTAAATTTTTTCTCTAAATTAAAACATTTGAACATGCCACAACACCAAAAACATAACTTCTTAAAACAGTCTTAAGAATACACCAAATAGGAATTTTACTTTAAAACTGCAACCAACTTCATCGCAACTTTTGATATAATAGCCAGAGAACTTGCCTACAGTTCTAACATTAAAGATCACCCACAACTTCATTATACAAATTCAAAAAAAGCATATAAATACCATGACCATCCAGAAATTCTCTTCTGCTTCATTGAAGAACTGTCTATTCTTCTGTGTATGTAAAGATTTTGCAGGTTTTGATGGACTAAAGGTCCTAAAAAAGGTTAAAAGAACATGTTGGGGACAATGCTCCAATGTAAGTTGCAAAATTCACTGAGCAAAAGCGCAGGCAAAGACATTACCTTGTAAATTGCACAATAGCTTCACATAATCCGACATTTCTAATTTTTTCATTCTTTTCTACTTCATTTGGATAATAAAACAAAATTTTATTTTCCTCCTAAAGTATAGAGAAACAAAACCACAACATTAACAGAAGCATTTTTTTCACCTGTGCTGTTTAATGTCAACCTCTCATGTCACACATGCTAACGGCAAAACACAACACGTTTTTTAGAAAAACAAGAATTGTCTTCTCACTGTGTAAATAACGCCCACCGGCTTAAAAGGCAATTGTGACACTAGGCTATTATTCTGAAAACTCAGTCTTTGGATTTCTTTCCTCGTGCTAATCTGTAATTAGCCAACTATTGTTAAGAAATAAGCCTGTGTGCAAGTGACAGATATACACCTCCCCGCAAATTAAACCCTGCAGGTTCACGGGCATCTGAGCTGACAGCCTTTTAAAAGACAGTGATTTGCTGTCAACAGAACCTCCGGACATCCTTTGAGGAAGTCACCGTCCCCGCCTAAAACACAAAGAAACTAGCTAACAAAAAAACCCTGGAATTTAGATATTAATTAAACCGGATAAAACTTTCCGAGGGTTCTCCAAGCCTTCATTATTTTGGGGCTACAGTCCACCACTCTTCCTCCACGTTCCTAGTGGGGGACTGCCCGTAACAAAGACACAAACTCGATTTTAATCACCCAGGATTGATGCAAAAAGGATGCTCAACCCGTGTGCAGCGATCAGCCTGATGAACCTTCAGTACACAGGCAGGCACTGACCTGGGACCTGAAACAGACCCTGCCTGCGTTGACTGCCGCCGGCGTCCCCACCGTCCGGGCGCACACCTGGCGCACAACAGCGTCGGTAAATGCCGCTCGAGTAGGGCAGAGAGATGCTGGCTGGCGCCGGCGGACCCGGGCCGTCTCCCGGGCGCACCCCGCAGCTCCCTCGGCCCGACACCGGCCAGCGACCCCCGGCCCTCCTCGGACCCCGGCTGACGCCCGCGCGGCCCATCTCTGCGTACCTCTCCTTCGCGCGGCCCGAAGCGCGGGTTGTAGATGAAGAAGCTTAGCAACGCCGGCGGGAACTGCTTCTCCTGGCACACCCCAGCCCCGGCTCCGGCCGCCGCTGCCGCCATCCCGGCCCTCGCCTAGAGAGCCTCCCTCCGCCCTCCCAGAGACAGCCAGCCTGAGGAGACCGCACTTCCGCCTCGCTCACGGCCTCCCCGGAAGTGGCCGCCGCCGGCCCGGAAGAAGAATCCATAGCCCAGTTTCCTTCATGGAGTACCTGTGAAGGTTAGTTCCGGTTTGTTTCCCTGGCAGGTGTTAATAATATGAAAGTTACGGTAAAGGTGGAAAGTTTGCTCCCAAAGTGCTGTTAAAACAAACACATTTAAGACGGACGTGCATTTAGCTGTGCGATTCGCCCATGTACATCGTGCACAGGGTTCCTCTGGCCGTTTATGGTTTTTTGACCCATCTTTGAGAGACCTCAGGTGACCGCTGGATCAAACCAAACCGATGGAATTTGCGCCTTATTCCGATTCCTCTGGCGCGGGGGAGGTAGCCGGCGAGGCACGGCGTGTGCAGACCAGGGCGCGGCATTCCCTGAGGGCCCCATCCCGGAGCACGGCGCTCAGGGGGTTATACCCAACTTTATTTCCACGGTGGCAGGTCACTCACTAAAATCCTGTTCACTCAGCGAGTCTGCATGCAGCAAGAGGGTCTCTGTCTCTGGGCCTCTGCCCCGCTCTTGCAGCCTTGCATCTGTGCCACTGTGTTGCCCAGAGCACTGGGAGGGGCTCTTTATATAGAGTCAATAACGACGCATTGCCCACACATGTGTACTGAGCTAGCCAACCAGGGCCAGGTGAAAATCCTGGCCACAGGAACCTTCACTTTATCCATAGCATTTAATAAATGTATATAACTTATGAATCACTGTTATATATCTCAAAACCAATATTGTATGCAACTATATTTCAATTAAAAAAAAGAGTATGTTTCTCTGGCCTTTTTCAGCAGCCACCCACATGCCCATCTCCCTTGGGGAGTCTAAAGCACCTGCCCAGGACCCTGGGACTGTGAGGAACATGGTTTGAAACCTATGGTTAAAGAAGGCTTTCTCTAAGTAAATGCTCTGGATGAGTAATAGAAAGAGCCCAGGACTTAAGTTGGAACACCTGAATTTTAGTTCTGGTTTTGCCATTTACCAATTCAATGACCTTTGGCTAATCACCTAATTTCTTTAACCTCAGTTACCTCCTTGTCAATCAATACCTACCTTACAGGGTGTGGATAAAATGAGAGTTCCTGTGGCCAGGATTCTCACCTGGCCCTGGTTGACTAGCTCACTGCACACCTGTGGGCAATACATGGACGTTGACTCTATGTAAAGAGCTCCTCCCAGTGCTCTGGGCACGACATGGTGGCATGGTCCGCAAGACTGCGGGAGAGCAGAGCAGAGGCTGGAGTGGTGGCAGCGCTGAGGACAGAGGCCCAGAGGATGGCTGTGTGGGACTGCTGTGCAGCCACAGAGGCCCAGAGGATGGCTGTGTGGGCAGAGGGGCCCAGAGGCAGAGACCAGCTTGCTGCATGCTCTGAGTGAGTGGGTCACATTGAATCCATAGTGAACTTTGCCTCAGGCTGAAACCCACTGGCAAGACACAGGGCTATTACAAAATTACAGATGACACAAATGAAAGCACTTTGTAAAGTACAAAGTACTATAGAAATGTGGTGAGATAACATTTTATAGTATTAGTCAAACCTTCTCCCCAGCACATTTCTACTTCCTTGTATACTTTGCCTCCTCTGTCCCTATCTGATCAAAAGTCAAGGAAGCAGGAAATCTTAGACACTGATGCATTCCCTTACCACACACACAGTCCTAGGGTGTGCACAGTGCAATGTGGAAGAAGTGATGAGAGACACCTAGGTGGATTTGGAGATCTCAAAGTGGAGAGGATGTGTATGTTGCTTCCCTCTGAAGCGGAGGAGGAGGCTGACAGAGGGAGGGCCCCACACCAAGGAGGAAAGTTAGCACTCAAATGAATAAAGTGTGGATTAACCTGTGGATAAAGTGAAGGTTCCTATGGCTGGGACTCTTACCTGGCCCCAGTCAGCCAGCTCACTCCACACGTGTGGGTAATATGTTGCTATTGACTCTAAAGAGCTCTACCCAATGTCCTGGGTGACACAGTGGCACGCCTGCTGCATGGCTGCAAGAGAACAGAGATGAGTGGTGGCAGCACTGAGGACAGAGACTGAGATGGCTGCGGGGACAGAGAGGCCCAGAGGCAGAGACTGGCTTGCTGCATGCAGACTCGCTCTGAGTGGACAGGAGTCTAGTGATTGACCTGCCACTGTGGGAATAAAGTTAGGTATAAACCCTTTCACCCCAAGAATGTTCCACTGTCATTTCTTTGGTCTCATTGAATCCCTAGTGAACTTGCTTGGGGCTGAAACCCATTGACAAGACACCATCCCATACCAACTTCATGGCTGCTGCTTCACTGGCCCCTCCAAATCTCAGGCAAAATGTCTCTTGTGGCCCCACCCTAACTGGATATCTACAGCCTAAACAAGGTAACATGTTTCAAAGCACCAGACAAATAATGCCAAGATTTGATAAAGCTGGGGTAGGTGCACAGGTGTTGGCTATGTGGCTGCATATTTTCATCTGTATGTTTGAAATTCTTATAATTTAAAGATAATTTAAGGTGTGAATCCATATACATTCATCCTAAAGCTCCTAGGGAAACAAAGTCAAAATCTACCCCTTCCTCTGAAAAGTTGCCTTTTTGAAACCAGTTAATGCATCATGTAAATGATAGTCTTTCCAGTGAATAAATTAACAGGCCAGATGGAAACGATCCTGGTGATTCCTATTTCAACTGTCTTCTTAAGTGTTTGCAAAGTAATACCATACCTTAAAAGTAGCAGAAGAGATACAAGATAGGTTTTTGCTTGAAATTGTATTCCCGAGCACTCATTGCACAAAATTAAACTGTGGTCATTACACAGACTTACCTATGTAGCTTGTAAACTTGAACAAATTGACAAGTAATTCACATCTTTGCTATTTTGCTACACTTTTTGAGCAGGAAAAAACATAGATGTTTAAGAAATTATATAAATATTTCATAATGTACAGATGCTGAAGTAAAATACCAAATACTCTTAGAAATTTTTTAGTAGTTCTTGTTAGTCTCAATGTGAAGCACATTCATGAGGCTGGCTTTGAGATCACATTCCATGCGATTATACACTACCAACTATAAGCCAAAATTATAAGTAAAAATAGTCCAGATTAAAGCTGCTGTTGCAGCCCTCTTTTATAAACAATTAGGAAAAACAAGATACTGGGTTTTTCAGCTCTGTAACTTATGAAGCAATCTAGGCCCTTATTTCAAAGTCAGAATATATCAGTCCACTGCAGAGAACATCATTGTGCTCTTTTGAAGTAGGTCAGTGGTCATCTGCAAATTACGTTAAAGTAAAAAAAGCAGCCACAAAGTTATTTATGTGCTTGTCAGTCCCTTTTCTGGGTTGATATAAATGTATAGAGTTTTTCCAGTTTTGGTTTTTGACTTGGGATATCTCAAGTCAAAAATTAAAACTTCTTCCTCAGTAACATGCAAGAGTACAAATGAGTAGAAATGTCAGGAGCAGAACAGTGTGCAGAGCTTCATTAATTTGAGTGTGGGATGTATCTTTGGCATAAAGGCTTTTTAACATTAGGATTTAGTGTTGCTTTGGCTTAGTGGCAATAATTGTGTAAGTCCTACATCTGTTTTTTCATTTTCTCTAGTTACTACGCTCTGCTTTTTAAAAAGGCCCCAGTCTTCTCTCATTGTTCTGTAATCCTGCCAGCTGGAGATACCTAATGTTAATACTTCCCTATGTAGCTTTTCATTTTGGTTCAGTGAGTAAATATTGAATAGGACCCATTAGAAGCCAATTGCTTTGGACAAAATTTGTGTAATGACTAAACTCAAGTACTTTCTAAAAACATTTCTTGTTTTCAGATTATATTTACACCAAAGATTTGGAAGTGCTAATGTTTCTGAAAAATTTAATCTTAGAAAAATAACCAAAGAAATGGAAAAGCGCTAATTAACAAGCATGTTCAAATGCCTACAGTTGTTGTTACCTGAATTCAAGGGCAGAATTACCACATGCCCCTCAGCATACCCCAAATTCAAACAATATAATTTAAAATTGATGTAAGTGTCACAGACCAGTGGAACAGATTAGAGACTCCAGACATTAACCCAAACATATATGGTCAATTAATATACAATAAAGGAGCCATGGACATACAATGGGGAAATGACAGGTTCTTCAACAGATG